CAATCAGTGTTATTTTAATATTATTAGTATTAATATTTTGAATTAGATTTTATATTTTCAATTTCAATTTGTACTTTTTTATTTTTATATATTTAAATTATTTAATTTATTGTTTTATATTTTAAGTCTTAGTAATTTTGTTATGTGCTTTTGTCATTTTTATAAATTTTTTATTATTTCTTTTTATTTAGCTTTAATTTATTTCAGTTTTAGGCTTTGTAATTTTATATTTTTAATTAGTTTTTATAGTTACATTTTCAATTTAAATTTTTACTTTTTTTTTAAGTTTTAGTAATTTTGTTATATGCTTTTGTCATTTTTATTGTTTTTTTTATATTTTTATTTAGCTTTAATTGATTTCATTTCACTTTTAGGTTTAGTAATTTTAGTACTTATTATTTCAGTTAGTTGCTCGGGCAATATTTTTGTTTACAATTTTTAAGTTTGTCTTTTCCGTCTAATATTTATGTTATTTCATTTCAATGTAGTTTTAATTAATGAAAAAAATAAAAAAACTGCAAGCATTTTAGACAACAATTGTCCTTTTACAAAAACAAAAAAAAAACTTAAATTTGAATATTGTATTATATTCAATTATGCTAAATTAAATTATATTATTCCTTGCCCTTTATTTTGTTGCACTAGTGCTAAAAAAAACTCTTCCTGTCTTTGTGGAAATGTGTGAATGAAATATGAAACTGAAATGTTTTTCATACCAAAATGTGACCACACATGACTAAATATTGACTTAGAAGGACTTGAAGGCAGCATTAGCTTCTGAAGCGATGATGTCATAGTGTGACTCAGAGTCCGCAGGCGATGATGTCATGATTCTGGAAGCAGCAGTGGAATTGTTTATATCTTTCGTCTCCTTTGTCCTCCACCTCACTCAGCCGTCTCTCTTTCTCTCTCTCTGTCAGTCTGTGTCTCTCTCTCTCTCTTTCTTATGTTTCGTTGTTTGCGTTTAAACATCACTGTTCACTGTCTCACGTTTTCAGATACGTGCAAACACAATTATGCACTCAACACACAGGGGCGCCAGTCGAAGGCACCCTGTGGTGACAGATCAAATAAAAACGGGTGCTCAAACATAAAGGTTTGTCCTGAGTAATGCGATTACACGCACACAAACACTCAGAAACAATGTCTTCTATTTACACACACGCTGACATGCTACTTTCTGATAAAGTCAGCCCAGATTCACCTTCCCCTCAGGAAGGCCGTCCGCGTGTTTCCGCGTGTGCAAGCAGAGATTCAGACTTTTGAATGACTTTGTTAGATAACAGACGCAAAACACAGCAGATAACGGAGCAAATCCCGCTTTCCCATGTCCCTGTGCAAATCTCAGATATTTTTTATCTTTTCAAACAGCACTGATATTCCTCTCAGCTTCACAAGGATTGATGGTCAGTAAACAAAAAAACTGATTTATCATTTCCTATTTTTGATCGGAAGTTCACGGGTAGGTTCATCATGCTGAAGCGTATTGTCCACATCTTTAACATATACCGACTCAACAGTAATGCTAGCGGCATGAATCAGGTCACCGCTGAAGAAAGAAAGGATGTTATAGACACAAATGTTTAAAAATAGAGGAACAAACTTGAACATGTGAAGGTCTTTGACACTTTCATTCTCTCCATTTGTGGTCCTGGCTTGTTTATAATATATGTGTTTATGGTTTACATGATTTGATCTACACTACTCTTCCAAAAATTTGAGGTCGGTATAAAATTAAGGCTTATATTCAGCAAGGACGCATTAAATTGATTAAAAGTGATAGTAAATATCTTTATAACGTTACAAAAGTTTTCTATTTTGGATAAATGCTGCTCTTTTGAACTTTGTATTCATCAGAGAATCCTAAAAAATGGTTAAGCAGCACAACTGTTTTCAACATTGATAATAAATGTTTCTTAAACATTAAATCAGCATATTATACTGATTTCTGAAGGATCATGTGACACTGAAGACTGGAGTAATGATGCTGAAAATTCAGCTTTGCATCGCATATTTTAACATATTCAAATAAGAAAAGTTATTTTAAGTTGTAATAATATTTCACAATATTACTGTTTTTGCTGTATTTTTAATGAAGTAAATGCAGCCTTGGTGAGAATTAGATACTTACCTAGAGACTACTGATTTCAAAATTTTCAATGGTAGTGTGTTTTAGAGCGTTTTTGTTGAAGAAGTTGGATTTGTATGTAATTTGTATGTTATTTTTGCTGGCTACGCTACTAGACTATAATTTATACACTATAACATGTCACTTATTTATTATGTAAGACTATAATAATCAGAGAACATCTTAAAGATTAATATCAGTGTGTCTGTTAGTGTGTTTTGGTGCCTGATAGTCAGTTAGGTGTGTGTGTGTGTGTTTGAATTGTATATGTTTGCAGGTCTATTGATGCAGAAAGTGTGTATGTGTGTTTATCCTAGTGTAAAAATGTTTTGAGTGTATATTTATGTATAAAAGTGTGTTTGTTGAGTGATGGGGTGTGCATGAGTGTGTGTTTGTATAGTTATGTGTGAATTATTATTAAAACAGAGTTGTGTGGGTGCTTGAATGATAGCTGAAATAGAGTAAATATATTTAACAGACTTAACCTCATTTTTTTAAATTAATGTGATACTGTTCAAAAATTCGAATTTCTTCATTAATTTGTATCTCTTTGAATTCATCCCTTGAATGAGGTTAATGTCTGATATTCGGTATTAAAATCCATTTGTAATTGAGAAACGTTACATCATCATTAACTGACTCCCTTATTGGCTCTTCTGGCTTTTGCCCCACCTCCCATGTGCAACCCCAGCAGCCTGGCTCTGCCCCCTGTGCTATGGCTGCAAATCAGCTTGTGTGGGAGGGGTTAATTCTCAAAGTGTCACGAGTGCGACTTCTGAATGCGAGCCTTGTGCATCATCTTTGACCTTTCCGCTGCTCGTAACACTTTATCAAACATAAAGATATGTTCAGAATTCACCCCTTTTGGTGTCATTTTGCTGCTTTTGATATATTGGATGTTTATCTCTATGTACATCACGTTCACACAAACAATCCCGTCTGTGTTCGCTATCTATGTCCGTTATAAACACATTGAATTCTACATTCTGTTGGCACATTCATGAGTTCGAGAACATTGAATTGTACGTCCTCTGTCAGTGCGTTTACGCATTTGTCAAAATATATTTGTCAAAACCACAACAAAAAGCTTCATAGTTTGAGCACCCTAAAATATGAAGAAGTCCAGACAATAGTGTATGTCTTCACAGAAATAGGGAGGTTGTTGCTCTCACAGCTTCATTAAAATTAGAGTACTAAATACTATTTTTTTCATAATCAGCATGCCTTATTTCAAAGTGCAGTCAATAAATTAATTAATAAATAAATAAACAAACTATCTGTTTTTATATTTTTATATTTTAATTAATTTTTATTATTTTGTTTTTATATTTTGTGTTTTTTATTTGCATAATTATTTATATACATGTTTTTTATCTCACGTTTTTTTAATGAAATTATATTTTTTGCATGATAATCATGCTTTATTCCAAGGTGTACAAAATAAATATATAAATAAATATACTTCCTATTTTTCATGCATTTTGCATATTTTAATTCATGTTAATTTTTTAAAATTCTATATGCTATATTTTGTATAATCATACTTTATTTTTAAATATATCTTTACATTTCATTTTTATTTTTAATATTTTGTTTTTAAAATTATATATTAAAATTTTATTTTATTTGCATAGTTATTTATGTCTCATTTTATGTCATGTTTTTTGTTTAGATAATCTCTTATTAATCTCTCATGATTAAAATAATCATTTAGTAATGTCAGGTGTTCGGTCAAAACTAGCTGTTTACTTCACATTTTACCACACTTTACTACTTTTTCTCCATTAATTGCATTGTTTTGAGATCCTTACTCAGGTATGATTACCCAGAATCCTCTCTGGTGTGATGACTGCCTCAAAAACAAGCCCATTTATTGAGAATATTTTCATTTTTGTTTCTCTTTCTATTCCCTCTGTCTTCTCTCTTGTACACCCATTCCTGACGTGTTCTGTTTATTGGCTGACCATTGCTTTAGGACTGATGATGTCATCCTCATGTGACCCTGTAACATTATGTGTAATTGGTTCATTGGTACCTGCTGAAGTTCACTGCATCAAAAAAGAAATGCCAGTCAATTCCTAATGGATAAAATCTAATTACATCCTATTTTTTCTCCTTGTATGCAAATGCATCAAACTACAGCAGTAAAGCGGGTTTGTTGAACATTGTTGCATCATTAGGGTACAATATTACTAAAAATTGCAATATTACAATATTGAATTTATCAACTTAAGGAACTGTCAACCCAAAATGAACATTTTGTCATGTCATTCCAAACCTGTATGCAGTTCTCTGAAGAATGTTGGTAAACAAACAGTTTTGGTTCCCATTGACTCCCATAGTGTTTTTGTCCACGCTATCAAAGTCAATAAGAACTGAAACCATTTTGTCACCAACATTCTTTAAAATATTTTCTTTTGTGTTCAGCAGAAGAAAGAAATGCAAACAGGTCTTGAATGACTTGAGGGTGAGTAAATGATGACAGAATTTTCATTTTTTTAGTGGACTGTCCCTTTAAATGTTTAGAACATTCTGGAATATTTAAAGGTTCTGGAGTATAAATGCACATAGAAGGCCTGTACTTCCGCTAATGTGACATTTTCCCCGTTCAAGTGCCAAAGTGAGACTCAATTCAACTCAATTTCCCATGGCTCTGCCAGCAGAAATCTGTCTCATGACGGAGCACAAAATACTGCCGGCCAGCCAAATGTGAACTATGATGTAGTGGGCTTCATCAATGACATCATAAGGCATGATCACACCTGCATGTGTGTGTATGACGTGTACAGCGGTCTGATGTTGCTCCCTCTGATGTTTTCTCTCTTCTCTCGGTTCATTCCCTCGATTGCTCTCTCTTTTCGTCCGTGAGAAGCTCTCTTTAAAGCTGGTAAGCATGATCTCAGTAGCATGTCGTAGCGGCATGACCGTAGCATGTCCGTCGCTGTAGTAACACATGGTCCTTTAACATCACTTTGTTCCTTTGTGTTCAACCCTTATGGATATTTTTGTTTACAGGGATAGTTCACCCAAAAATTTTAATTTGCTGTTAATTTAATCACCCTCAGGTAATCCAATATGCCTTTTTTTCTTGAGAAGAGCTCAAACCATGTTTGGTCCTTGGTGATTCATAAAATGCAAGTCAGCGGCTGCCCATTTGTGATAATAAAAAAAGCATATCAAAGAACACAAAATGAATACCTGTGGCTGCATACTTTATATTGAGGTCTTATGAAGAGAAACAATCGGTCTGTGCAAGAAACTGAACATTGCCGGACAGTCACTAAAATACCAGCATATATGATCCAATGATACTGGTTTTGCCAACTCATTCAGTGCTCCAGTTCCTCCAGCAGTCACTGAATTGAGGAAACAGTTCAGACTCTGACCAAAGATCGATGAGCTGGTGATATGCATATGAGTGAACCGAGCACTTGAATGAAGGGGTGAAATGCTTGTTCATTGTTTATATAAAACATTTTAAAGGGGTCATATGATGTTATTAAAAAGAATTGAAGTAGGAGATCTTGGAAAATGCTAACTTTAGCCTGATAGCACTGAAAGCGAACGTCCCACCCTCCCTGCAATCGCCGTCCAAAGCCACACCCCTGAACGCATATACACTCACAGACGTTTTGATTGGACGAACATTTCTTGGTCCTACGCCTTCCACAGAATATATAAATACAGATAAATACATTTAAACCACTTAACATAATGATTGCTATCTTGATGTAAAAAGACTTTCAACCAGCATAACTAAAAAAAAATTTCTGAAGACAAAATCACCTATTGCACCTTTAACTTTTATAAAGAATATCTCTTTGGGTTTGAGACTTTAGTCTTTGCAACTTTAAGGATCTTATCTATTCACAAACAGCTTGTAACACACCAAAGAGAAAGGAAAACTTGAAATCGCATCATATGACCCCTTTAAGACTAGTTTATGCACTTGATATGCTTTAGACATGTAAAACATTCTCGTATCACATCATTATTGGGTGCTTTAATAATGTGACATTGTGTGATTACGTAAACAACTGGTGAATGAGTTATTTGAACCAGTTCATTGAAACAAACTGAAAGAACCAGTTTGTGGAAAATAATCATATTTCCCCCATTTGCCTGAGGCTCTGGATTACAGGTAATAATGTTGTAAATAATGTTCAGCTTCTTGCACAGACCGTTCGTTTCGCTTCATAAGACCTCAATATATCGTCAGGAGCCACGGGAATTAACTTGGTCTAGCCTGTAAATGCTTTTTTGACTCTTAAAGTGCTGGTAGCTGCTGATTTGCATTTTATGAATCAACAAGGACCACGGTTTCAGCTGAAAATCATTTTTACTGTTCTACTCACAAAAAAAGTTGCTGAGTAAATTAACAGCACATTTTCATTTTTGGGTGAACTATCCCTTTAACAACACTTTTGGTATTGTTTTGTTATATAATTTGACCTTTGTGTCTATTTAAGTTCAAAACCATGTTGTCTGATTTATCTTTTTGTTGATGTCTGTTTTGTTTCGTCTTGTTGCCATGGTGACTGTCCCTCTGTAGCTCTCACTCAATGCCCACGTGCGGAACCTTATTGAGGTGATCTGAAACCCGTTTTTTGTCCCTGTGTTTGTTTATCTGTCCATGATTCGGTCTTTATGTATTTCAAACAATTTGATTAATTTGATCCCTAACCAGATGTGTGGCATAATATGCTGAAATGCGATCATTTTGAATGTAGTTTAGAGAATCTGTTGATGTTATAGTGTAAGTTAAAGGGATAGTTCACATGCAGAATTAATATATAGTCTTTATTTTATGTCATCCTAAATCTCTGGCTTGATTTTTTTTCTGTGGAACACAAAAGGAGATGCTTGGTTTAACTTTTCACTTTCATTATGGAAAAGAGCAGCATGTACATTTTGCTAAATATCTTCTTTCATGTTTCACTGTAGAAATTAAGTCAAATTGGTTTTGAATGACATGAGGGTGAAAAATAATATAAATAAAGTGTTATTAATAATTATCAGTGATTAGAATAGATAAAATATCTTAACCAATCACAGAGTGTCTTGCTATTTTAGCCCCGTCCAAAACTTTTTACATGTGATTATTGAAACACTGATGGTGTAGTGTGATTTATAGTTGACTATTACATTGTAGGTAATGTTTGGTTATATTTAAACATAAATCTGTTTATAGATATGCGTATTTGATCCATATAATTTCTTTGAGTTAATTTCTGAGATTTTTATTTTTTTTAGATCTATTTTTATTTGTAAATAATCAGAATGTTACATAATTAACATTTTATTTTAACAATTTGTCTTTGTTTGTGAAGACGGTGAGTACAACAGTGAGTTTAGCATGTATATTGTGCTTGTGTAGATCTTGATTATTACTTTTCAACATTTGCCTGCAATGATTTTGTGGTTTTATTTAACTGTATTTTGAGTGACAGTGCAATGCATGCTCAGAAAAATCTGGTTGTTTATTGTTGCATGACAGTATGGAGATGTGGAAGAAGGGGTAAGGTCGCTGTGCCTGCTTTGTGACCTTTGACCTTTTAGTGAGATGCTTGCATTGACCTGTGGGCAGGACTGTAGAAAGATACAGCCGTCCACCTATTCAGTCCAAACTCGAATTATAGAAATGCTGTGAATGAATAAGATACAATGATGATTGAGAGATGAACAAATAAACTTTCCTCAAAAGCCTGATAAATAATATTTGATACATTTGAACATGATTTTTCTAAAAAATTACATATGGATAATTAAGCAAAAATAAGTTGCTTCAGTCCAGTAAGTGTTCATCTTGAAATATTATTAACAATATAAAAGTTATTCACACGTTTACTAAGATTTCACAGCAAAAAGACATGTACCATGACCTAATTTATACTAAGAAAAATGATTTTTTTTAAATCATTTTCAAAGTTTTTAAATTCCTTGTTTTATTGTTGTGATTATTTTTTTTCTTTTCTTTTATGTAAAGCACTTTGAATTACCATTGTGTATGAAATGTGCTATACAAATAAACTTGCCTTGCCTTGCCTAAGAGGCCTTTTACTTGCTGAAAAAGTATCGATCAGACCACAGAAAGCATGTAGTAGATTGTGTTTTTTTTTTTTTTAGCAAAGTTTTAATCATGTTGATTATTTGGAGGCCTTAAATGTGCCTATCACATATGATACAGTAGGCTTCATAGGGTTAAAAATCATTGCAGCAGGTTTAACCTCCCCAAATTCACGGCTCTTCAACTCCACCATGTGGTTGAAATCATTGTGGCAAATACTGCATGCCAGAGAGAACTAATGTGGAAAAAGCAGTGGCTGGAGTGTTCAGAGGATCGATACATTAATGTAGACAGGAACAGGATATTAGAGCGAGATAGAAAGAGGGCACATAAGGACAGATGCAAACCAAATCTCTCAGCTCAACCAGAATCAGATTTCAAAGATGAGCCAGCAAGATAAGAGGTTCTTTTATGAGAACTGTTTAATCAGTGTTGTTGTTGGCATTGGACTGAATAGGTTAATTAGCTCATCTGGTTTGCCTTTGATAAACACTTGATTTGAAAGCTGATTGGCTGCTTTCCAAAGGCAGCTAGCCAACCAGATGACAGGAACAGAAGATTCTTTAATAGTCCATTGATGTGATTGAATGTGTCCTGGTTTGACCCGCCTCATTTATGCATATGCATATTTGTTTATATATTTGCAGATTCTAACAGGACAGTGCCAGTTTTTAAGGTGCAGATACTCACTGGTTGTCTGTCCTCCTCTCTGTCTCCTCTCAGGGTTCGAATCCTGAGGACTTCAGTCATCTTCCTCCAGAGCAGAGAAGGAAGAAGCTTCAGGCGAAGATCGACGACATCAATAAAGACGTACAGAAAGAGATGGACCAGAGGTACACAGACATGGACAAACACACACAAATAGAAACACAAACTCATATATCCTGCCATACACTAGTCAAAAATCCCAGTGGATATATAGACAATAATAAAGACTCTTTGAAAAAGAAATATATAAAGACTTTAATAGTTTGTCAACTTATTTTACAAAGTATTATTTGATATTTTTATAGCAGATTGTACACTTTTTCAGATTTTTACATTACTCCTACCCACCAATTACTTTCTTACTTTTTGTTTTATTTTATTTTTTATTTACTTACTTGTTGTATTTATTTACTGCTTATTCTTATTTATTTACTGCTTATCTGCTTATTTATTCATTTTCATACATTTGCAACATTTATTAGTTACATAATTTATTAACAAATTTATTTATTTAATTGTTATTTATTTATTTACATGCTTATTTATTTGCATACATATTTATTTATTTATTTACATAATTAATTAATTTATTTATATAGTTCTTTTTCTTTTATAGTTTTTTTTTGTTTTTCTTTCTTGTTTTTTACCCTTTTAATTGTATAATGTTTAATATTCATATTTCAAAAAAATTGCATGTATAATTAATGTTTATATAAACAAAATCCTTAAGGAATCTGATTGGAATTTCTGTCATAATTTGTAAAGAAATCCAAAGGTATACCTGGGAATTTTCTTTCAGGATTCCAACATTTTTTTGAGAACACATGGTTCCCAGCATTTCTAGGATTGCAAAGGGAAAAGGAAATCAAATTTAAATAAAATCTTTTAGTATTTTAAAACCTTTATAACTTTAGCCATCTTTAACTTTCCAGCAGCACAACATTATTCAATACAGTATGAAATTAGTTTTGAAAAAGATATACAATATTCAGTAGGACTCAAGAATATAATGTAAAAATCAAGAATCCTTTAAGATTTTATTTGATTCTGATTTTCTGATTCCGATTATGAAATTTCTGTAGAAATGCTCTACATAATCCTTTTTGAAAATTTTGACTAGGTCAGGTTTTTATTGGATTTAGTCAGCAAATATATGTATGTGTACTTTTTCTCTGTAGAGATGCTTTGACTAAAATGAAGGAAGTGTATGTAAAGAACCCACAGATGGGGGATCCCAACAGCGTGGACCCTCGGTTAGCAGAGATCGCCCACAACATTGAGAAACTGCAGGCGGAGGCACAGAAATTTGAGGTGTGTGTCATTTAACATCTCCAAATACAGCACAGGCCTGGATGAGTAGTTCAGTTCAGTGGAAATGAGTGTGTGTGTGTGTGTGTGTGCTTTAGGGCTGGTTAGCGGAGGTCGAAGGAAGGATGCCGGTAAAGAGTGACCCTCCGAAGAGGACGAGTGTTCTATACGAGACCCAAAACAGCACACCACCCACCAACAACAACTGCGCACAGGATAGAGAGAGGTACACACTCACACACACACACACACACAAATCTATCAAATAAGAATATTATTATTGTTAATATTAACATATTCATACACACTGAATTTACAGTCACTTTACTGCCACAGTGCTTTGCAAACAGTTGCTATAGTTATTGTGTACGTGTGTGTGTGTGTGCGTGTGTGTGATGGAGCAGTCCGGATGGCAGTTATACAGAGGAACCGAGTTCTGAGGTCCAGAGTAAAGTCCAACCTGAAACAGCAGAGTCTGGAGATGAATTTGATGACGCAGATGAAGAAATGCTACCGACCATCGGCACCTGCAAAGCCCTCTACCCGTTTGAAGGTATTTCTTGTATAAATGCATAATTAAACAAACATTTACAGCAAAAATGTGGGCTCTGTTTCAAACCCTAGTGAGCTGCCTCACTGTCTGTTGTCAAATGCATATAGAAGTACCTGCTAAGACAGCATCCTAAGTAATAAAACCTCAAAAAAGTGGTTTCTTCATATATGTATATGTTAGTATATATGGTAACACTTTACAATAAGATTCCGTTTGTTAACATCTGTTAACTACGTTAGTTAACATGAAATAGCCATGAAAAATACTTAAGCATTTAATTTGAGTTAATTTGAACTTTTATTAATGTATCTATTAATTTATGAAATTTTTGTTAACTAACATTAACAAAGACTAATAAATGCTGAAATGTTCATTGTTAGTAAAAGCTAGTTAATTCATTAACTCATGCTAACTAATGGAAGCTTATTGTAGGTGTTACCTTACTGAGGCCAGAAATTTATTTTTTATTTTTTTACTTTTATTCATCATGGACACATTAAATTGATCAAAAGTGACAGTAAAAACATTTATAATATAATATTACTAAAGATTTCTGTTTCAAATAAATGCTGAACTTTCTATTCATCAAATTATTCTGAAAAAAGTATCATCGTTTCCACAAAAATATGAAGCAGCACAACCGTTTTCAACATTAATAATAATAATAAGATGTTTCTTGAGCAGCAAATCAGCATATTAGAATGATTTCTGAAAGATCATGTCACACTGAAGACTGGAATAATGATGCTGAAAATTCAGCATTGCATCACAGGAATAAATTGCATTTTTAGATATATTTGAATAGAAAACGCTTATTTTGAATTGTAATAATATTTCACAATATTACTGTTTTTACTGTATTTTTGATCAATTAAAAGCAGGCTTGCTCAGCAGAAGAGACTTCTTTCAAAAACATTAAATAATCTTACTGACCCCAAACTTTTAAATGGTAGTGTATATACATATTTTATTTATGGATTGATTGCTTTTCTTCCAATTTTCTCTGTAGGTGCTAATGAAGGCACCATCTCAGTAGTGGAGGGTGAGCTCTTGTATGTAATAGAGGAAGACAAAGGTGACGGATGGACGCGTGTTAGAAGAAACGAGGAAGAGGAGGGTTACGTCCCCACATCCTACGTCGAGGTCTTTCTGGACTCCAACGCCAAAGGTGCCATAACCTACATATGACCCAAAGCTTTAGGTCCTGCGATCTCAGAAGTGTGTTTGTGTATGAACACTAAAGGAGACGTCTAGGGGGTGTGTGTGATCCTGACCTTCTCCAAGCCAACAATTTGACTTTTTAGACTGTTTTTGGTTAAGCGGACACTTTTTTTTCTGAAACTGAAGGACTAAATGATTGTATATGACTTAGCACATGACGGTTTTAGATATTAGCCCTCCATAGTTTAATATGGCGGTAGTATCTTGTCATATTGATTAACAGTGCATGTTAGATCACTCCGACTAAATGTACAGGCAAAAATGCAACACACACACATATATAAAGAGATACATGCAAGTTTTTCATATGCAAATGAACTGAAGGTCAAATTAGGCTAGTGTTTTTCCCCAAAAAACAATTTTTTATAACCACTAGTCAAGCCCTAGTAATAATAAACAGTTTACAAGTAGCCTAAAAAAGTATAATTTCCTTTTCACAAAATATATTTGTGAAAAGCACGTCACTTGCTAATACGTGTTAGGCAGAGACTGCCTTTTTGGATCTTTAGCTGTATTATTTCTTCACATTGTGTTCAATCTCAATACTTGTAGTTGATATTGATAGTCTTAAAAAGAAGAAATAACCTTGGAAAAAACATATGATACATAGACGTTTACGAAAACATAATATAAATGAGTAAAAGCACAGTATGTATTCATAAATCCTGATTGCATAGTATGCATCACATCCACACAATCATGTTTGGTGCTCCTGATCTTTATTCCTAAGAGCTTAAATGCCATTTTAGATGAAATATGACGTGAATATTAATCTTTTCTGAATGTTTCCTCACAGATGTGTTTTCCTGGAGAAGGGTTTTTCTTTCTGAGGGTGAGACGGAGTTCTAGTTGAGTGCGTTAACCGTGTGTTTGAAGAGATCTAGAATGAATTGCGTTTGACATTTAAAACTGTTTAATACTGCACAAGTGTGATTTCCTCTGAATGAAGTGTTGGAGTCTGACTTTTATTTCATTTTAGACATGCATTAACCTACTTATGCCACCTTTAAGTTAGAATTGTCTGCAAAATGACATGCACACACACACACAAAACCCAATCTGCTTCACAAACCAACAGAGAGATAACCTACATGCAGATCTTGATTGCTGAAAACACTAAACTTAGTGTGAGTCCTCTGACTGTTTGAGTGAGTTTTTGGCAGTTTTTCACGGCATAAATGCATGTTTGAGTGCATTTCAGGTCACATTTGTTCTTGAATTCAACCAAGAACACTGAATTACTCTTGCCAACAAATCATGCATATTATAAATCATGCTACAAACAATCCAATGTGTTTATATTGTCATTTTCCAGTTTATTTTGTAAGTGTACAGCTCATATGAGCATATATGTCATATGTGTGTGTTTAGGGATGCATTCAAATTGGCTTTTCACACTTGTTATCATAGTTGTTTTTTAACCCTGGATTATCTTGTTCCATGTTTCACACTGTTCGTTTATCATGGGTTAATTGCTGTGTACATTTGGCACTGTAGTATATAGCATATACAGTAACTACTGTATATGTAGTAGACATTGTTCTCAGGGCTTATTCATTTGTTCCCTTGTTTAGTTAAATTGTGGTCATGTTGTACATTGTTTCAATTTATTTAAATAGTGGCCATTATTTACCTAAAACAAGGGAACTAATTAATATATCATGGGAACAAATTATTAAATTATGGGAAAAATTTCTTTTTTTTCCCCCTCATGTTATGTGTGGAGCTTTGTAGTTATTAAAAGTAAAACTATTAAAAATCTTTTTTGTGAATTGGAATAAAGCTGAAATAAAATAAAATATATATTAGATGACAAACTTAAATGTAAAAAACTTTTTTAAAAAATCAAACAAAATTTAAATGTTGCCTTGACAACTAACTGAAATAAAATAAGTCACTAAAACAAAAAAATTCTAAAACTAAAAACCGAAATAAAAATAAAAAATATTTAAAGAAAACAAAAACTAATAAAAATGACAAAAGCACATAACTTTAAAATTAAAATGAAAAATAACAGCTAATTCGAAATATTAATAAATACTACAATAGTATATAAATAATACGGAAACAACACTGGCGTAAGGAAATTACTTAAAAATAAAAATAAGATAACCCAGGGTTAAGTATAGTGTGAAAAGCCTTTTAATAGCGGCCATGAATCCATCACTTTCACCAAGTCTAACATGTTTTTTCTTTTGTTTTTCATATGTTTGTTTGTTTGTTTGTATGACTGCAGATTCGTAAAGTATGGAAGGAGGACTCAGTGGTGCAGGGCAAACAGCAGCCACATGTGAGGAAAACTACAGCCTACCCTTCATGAACCGCCCTAGAGTGAGACAGATGAGAGACAGACACAAAACAAAGAGAGGAACAGTGAAAGAAGCGAGAGGAAGAGGCTATAGAGACCTCTCGGCCTAAATTCTCCGGCTGTAGAGAGGAACTTTATCAGTGAATCAGAGAAATATTATGGCATTTAGATTTATTACCTGTCTGTTATTTTATAATGAGGTGAATATGAGCTGCATATATCATTTTGCTTTTTAAAATCATTTGCTTCATCGCTGCTGAATGGCGCTAAACTTTCTTTCAGCCTGTGCGAGTGAGTGTATGTATGTGTGTTTGTCTTTAACCGTCTTGTTTCAAATTTCCTCACCTTTCCTCGAACTAAAACCCTGGGAATGTGGTCTGTTAAAGGAGCTGAATTTGCGGTACCACGACAGTGCTGCGTTCCATCCATATTCCTGTTATATATAGCTTGATGCTCTAAAGATGATGTACACTACTGGTCAAAAGTTTGGAACAATTAAGATTTTTAATGTTTTGAAAGAAGTCTATTCTGCTCACCAAGTCTGCATGTATTTGTTAAAGATACAGCAAAAACAGTAACATTGTGATTTTTTTTTTTTGCAATTTAAAATAAGTGTTTTCTGTTTGATTATAATTTAAAATGTAATTTATTCCTGTGATGCAACGCTGAATTTTCTGCATCATTACTCCAGTCTCCAGTGTCACATGATCCTTCAGAAATCATTCTGATATGCTGATTTGCGGCTTAATTATGATGTTCAATTATGGTGCTCAGTTATTAATAATGGTTCTTATCATCATCAGTGCAGAAAACAGTTTTTGCTGCTGAAACCGTGATTTTTATTCAGGATTCTTTGATGAATAGAAAGTTCAAAAGACAGAAATTATTTTCAATAAAAATCTTTTGTAACATTATAAATGTCTTTACTGTCACTTTTGATCAATTAAATGCATCCCTGCTGAATAAAAAAAAAAAAATCTTACCTCAAACTTTTGAATGGAAGTGTATCACGGTTTCCACAAAAATATAAATATAAATTACATTTTAAAATATATAAAAATAGACAAAAGATATTTTAAATTGTAATAATATTTCACAATATTACTGTTTTTGCTGTATTTTTGATCAAATAAATCCAGCCTTGGTGAGCAGAAGAAACTTCTTTCGAAAACCTTTTTCTAAACTTTAATTATTCGAAACTTTTAGTGTATAAAGAAACAAAATGGCAATGCAAGCATGTTTTACAGGTGTATGATTATCAACAAATCATGTTTTACACAGCAAAAAACATTCATATATAAACTTATGATGTAGGAACTTTGACTCGTTCGTACATTTTATTCGCTTAAAAGCATTTGTTTAACATTAACCACATGTACTGTATGATGTGAAATGTCTTTAAGTGCCGTTCTGTTGCACTTTTCCAAGTTGCAAGCTGGAATCTTTCTTGAGTTGGAATGCAGCATTAAAATTCTTCATGATGTCACTCATTCCGGCTCCTTCATCAGGCCACACCCCTTTAGACCCTTTGACTCCACCTCCCAAAGATAACAGCTGCTGGCCATTGGTTGCTCATATGGCTGTTGCACATGTCAGGGGCGGGGCTTCACTGGCCAATAGCATGTCTGCTTGCCCTGGCACCTCCTCTGTCTCCGCCCTTCCAGTGCAATTACTACTTCTGTCTGTCTGTTTGCCATCTTATCTAACTCATTTTTATCTAAGGTCCCTTCAGTGATTCACATTTTCATTCATTTAATCTATTAGACTTCCTGCTTTACCTTAACCGTCCAATCATCATGCTCAAATGCTGTATTTGTTTGTCGGGCAAGGGAGGGGCTATATTTACACTCATGAATAATGTCCTGTTGATATGGGTATGTATTTATTGTGACAGCTGTTTTGTTCATGTCTTCATGGTTTTACCCTGTGGAGCACCCAGCCGAGAACCTCGCAACCTCATTGGTTTCGCTGGTTATATATATAAACAGTATGTAATGATTTAAATGTACTCTGAGCCAAATGTACAGGTTAACCAGACATTTGACATGCATCATGTGAGCTGTGAGAATTTGTATGGCTCTCTTAACCTGAAGAATAGACTTGGAGGTTTTTAATTCAACTGATTATTTCCCCCTTTTTAATGTAATCACTGTGGTTTGACGAAGGGGAGTTTGATTTTTCAGTTGTTTTTTTTTTTCTTTTGTGAAGAGATTTTTTTTCCGTCATCTTCCACTGTTTACTCACCATCCCTGAGGCACATACTAATTTAAAATTTTCTTTTTAGATTTTTTTATTCTCTCTCACAGTCCTTTTGGGTCCAGGGGAGGTTTTAGATATTTAAAATTGTAGTTTTTTTTTTTCTTTTATTATTATTTTTTCTTGATTCTTAGGTTTGAAGCCCATAACATCTACATCTCTACAGGCAGCATCATGGAAATGAAAATTCGCACATGCCACAGATCTGCTATTTAATGCTGAATGCTTTTATTATGTTTAACAAAGCGCTTATTGATGAATTGTTTTATGTTGAATGAATTGGGCAGCCTCTCAGAATAACTGACTCACTCGCTATTGATGAACCTGTAAATATAAACACGTGTAATAAATGAGAAAAGGTTTTGAAAGCGGACAACATCTCACCATCTTGAAGAGGAAAACGTCATTTCGTATGTCTTCCGAACATACACACTTTCTCAAGTGCTCTGTCTCTCTTTGAGAACAAAACAATTGCAAAACAACTTTATTTCATCCTTTTCAGCATTGTTATACTCTGCCGGCTATCACCATATGACATACATACACACAGCTGTCTTATTTGGCTTGTCAGTGACAAGAATCATTTGCCCTCGGCCCCTATCCGCTCTTTTGGGGGCTTCAAAACACCATTCCCAAATCAGAGAACTATAAATATATATATGTATATCTATAAGTACAAGTCTATAAATAAGAGTGAACTACCAATCCATGGTAAGAGTCTATTTTTAAATTTTGATTAATAAAAATGTCCCAGTTTCTTTTGTCTGCTTTGCTAAATGAATTAAACACTTTTTTTTTTTTTGGTCTCGTTTGGTGGGGTCTGCCAAATGTTTGTTTTGCACTTTTTTGTTTGTGTTCAGTTTATGCTTGTGTTTTGGAGCACTGAATACTTTGTATGTGTTAACTGTGCCAATTAAAGATAGAGGGGGAAAATCAATGAATGATTGTCTCAGTGTATCACTTTACGGTCTGTACAGTAGAAAAACCATTATGCCTATGGAGAGTCCCCACAAGGATAGCTGACCAGACGTGTGTGTGTGTGTGTAGAAAATCTGAAGTTACCTGCATGACATCACACATTTGTATATTAACATTGTATCCTAGTCTTATCATTTTACACAAAAATAATTAACACACTGGCAGGGCTGAAAATAAGTAAAATATGTACACATTTACACTCATGTTAACTTTATAAACAAGTCTTATTAATACAAAAATATCCATAAGTATTCAGAACAAAATATGTATTTATTCATTGGTTCATTTGAAACTTACTAATATTATTGGCCAAACGAACATCGCAAACCATTAGCTCTTCCATGTTCCACATATGAATATTTAAAGTCAATAAATTAATATTTAAAATTGCGTATTAAAACACATAGCATACATGATATCAGTTGTATTGCAACAACTGCTTTTACACTGCATGGGCTTGTGTTTACTTCCTGGGCAATTAACATTGGTCGACATCTCGGCAAGAGTCTGTGACGTTTGTTGTTTCCTCGTTGTGATTGGTCGACATGTCGGAGATGCAAATGAGAAAGCAATGCGCGGGTCTTAAGAATGGCAAAATAGCTTTTTAAAAACATAAATCCAAATAATACGCGTATAACGTATATACAGACATGTCTACACTCTAATATGTAATACACACAATAAGAACGACGTATGTTTTTCCAATTTTAAAAAAGTCACCGTTGATGAGCATAATGGCCAGCTACCGCCCTATATATTCTCCGCGAACAACCGCATTTCGTCGTGTTGTATGAAAGGAGAGAAGGTTAGCACTCCCCTTGACAAGGATGGAAGAGGTCCTAGTGACCTTCAACACACATATGGTTAAGGCATTGCCACCTACTTCGTGGCATCTCTAACCAAGTTTTTTTTGTGGTTTTGTCTCAATATTACATACAGTGCATGATTCATATCACAGCTCAAAACCCCACAGCATTCTCGCAGTGTTTAAACAATTATCGATATAAGACGAAAGAAACAATTGTAACATTCTATAAGATTTCATTATGAAGATTCTATATTCGTGAGGCTATATCCGCCTGGGACCCAGGCATAGACTTTTGTCCTCTGAGGACATTCTATTTTAGTGAATTTCTCTGAGATCATACATGCCTCGGTTTAAAGTCTGGATGTCCTGTACAGGGCACATTCAAGCCTTTTCAGAGATATCAAATGTTTGGACGTTTGATCATAAACACTCATCTGCTTGGTCTGATGCATAGTGGTCACTACAGTGGACAGATATGTGGAAGCCATTTTGAACCATTTAAGACGTAGTAGCATCATGTCCCAACCACCAACTGGCGGACCCCCAAAGTAATGTCTACCATTCCATTTAATTGTTTTGTTTTGTATCTTTTTTTTTTTTGAGATATTACATAATATATTCAAAATGGCGGCAGGAAAAGGGGATGCACCATGTGCCTCAGGGATAAGTGTTAAATCCTTTTATTCTCAGAAAACCAGACAGGTACAAAAAATATTTTTCAGCTAAATAGGATGTCAGAAATAGTTTTATCCAGATTTTAACAATATTTTTCTTGTCATTTTTTTTTCTGTGACAGAAAATATATCAGTCCACCAAAGGGTATCATTCTGACTATGGGCCTATATATAGATTCTGCATTATTGTGTATGTTTCATTAAAATTATGATATAATTTACGCTTGAATGGTTTTATTGAACAGAAATATTAAATAGTCTTCAGATTTTATCATTTATTTCAATGCTTACAGCCTATATTTATTTATTAGGTAATATAAAAGTGTAAGCATGTATACATGTATACTGTATGATTGCGTTCGAGTGTGTTTGTATTAGCGCTCACATGTGTATGAATATTAATGAATATTAATGAGTTGGAATATGAATATGAATTGGGGAAACACAAGTCAACAGGGAAAGAAATTATAGATCAATATTCCTATGAAATATGAGATATTCTTATGAAAATGTTGCCAAGTTATTACTTTATCTTTGTTTGCCCCAAGAACACGTTAATATGCAAATTAGATGCAATGTATATATACATTGTATAGAATGGGAATACCAATTTAATATGGACATTTTACGCACACATTTCATAAAGTAAAATAGTACATCAAATCATTCTGTTATATATTTTATAACATAGTTGAGAATCATCTTTGTACAAAGTTTGGTTAAAAATAGCCTGAAACCTAAAAGCTGATTGGTGAATGAAAAAATAAAACATTGTTTTTGCCTATACATGCCTTTTCATGTCTATTTATTTTTTGT